TTATTATTATTATTATTATTATTATTATTATTATTATTATTATTATTCAAACATATTGTTTATCTTTATTTTTAAAATAAATATTAAAGGATTATATTTTAAATAATTGAAATGAAACAAAAAGATATTTCGATTGAGATTAATGAAAGAGGCTAGAATTAATGTGTTTGTTTCTCTCCTTACTGAAATTTGGAATGGAAAAGGTAATAATAGAATTAAGTATGCATATATGGATGTATAATTGCTGTCATATTTGTATGTAAAGGTGATGACCCGGAAATATGTTGTCCACTAAAAAGAGATTTTTGTTTTTAATGTGAAAAACTGAATAAAATTTGTTACAAAAAAAAAAGAATGTACATTTGTGATGGGTGCCGTTGTTGCATGCTGCCTGGTTTTCAGGTATAGATACTTACAGTAACAATTCTTCTAATTCCCTTGAATTGAGTTCTATCTCTACAGCTACAGTCTGTGTCCTTGTAAGAGGGGAATTTTGAAAAATAAAGGTCTAATATTTCTTGCTGAGTACAAGATTACACAGCTACTACTATCCAAACTATTAAAATACAGTAATCTCAATTCCCATATAGAGATAGTCCTCCTATAACAAACACAACAGAGCTCCCTGGAGGTTTTGTCATATAGTAAGTCACTGCAATCGTTAAGTGGATCATCATGTGATCTGATTTGATTTTAGAACCATTTTTATTATGGTTATAAAGTTAGTCACAGTGGTTGTTAAGCAAATCACGTGCTTGTTAAGCAAACCATGTGATTGTTAAGTAATATATTCTCCTAAATAGGTTTTCCTTGTCAGGAACCGGTAAAAATGTCACAAATCACATGACTGCAGGACGTTGCAACTGATTATAAATGCAAGCCAGTTTCCAAGCACCCAAAATGTGATCATGTGATGGGGGGGGGCTGCAGCAGTCATAACTTGAAGGACGTGTTATTGGGGGGGGGGTCTCATAGTAACTTTAAACCATGATTGAGGACTGCCTGTATATACAATGTTGGAAGTACAATTATGTTTTATTTTATGTAGTAAAATAATGTTAAACATAAAATATTTTAATGCTTACAGTTTTACCTCTACAGTTGTTTAATTGCCAGTTATGTTGTCATCTACTTCATTTTCCAATATTTATATTGAAAATTGCATTCCTTGTTGCAGTTCCAACTACTGTGTCAGCAAATTCTGTATGCTAAGAGGGGACCAGCAGCTTTTTTTAGTTCCATTCAATCATATCAATTCTTGGATATTGTCTAGACAAGTCCCTGCAGTTTCCTTAGCAAGGTTTTTCAGAAGTGGTTTGCTATTGCCTCCTTCCTAAGGCTCAGACGAAGGGGACTAGCCCAAGGTTCACCCAGCCAGCTTTGTGCCTAAGCAAGACTAGAACTAGCCTGATGCTTTAACCTTTACACTAAACTGGCCCTCTACCAACAGTTTACACACATTATAACACATGTTTATATAACAGACCTCATATATTATGTGCACATACACTTAATATAAAATAAATTTGAACTGCATCTAGCTGTTAATTTTTTTCTTTTTTCCAGTAATTTTCTCAATTTATTATGTCCTTCATTCTTTGAAAGTTCAGGGGGCCCTAATTCTCTATATTCAGAGAATAGCAACAGACTTCCAACAGATTCAGTGCTTGCTTCTCTGCTTTATGAATACATGGTCTTGCCGTTCTGTTTTCTGCTGTTTCTGCTATACTGCATTTTTTACTTTTCTGAAACATAATTGCCTTCTCTTCCATCAGTAAATACCAGTTTTCTGAGGGATCTCCCAAAGTTATCTATACTGCTCTGGTTTGAATTAAGTCTGAAGAAATCATTTCAAGCTTCTGGTAACATTATCCTTTCTCTGCATGAAACTGTTAGAGAAAAAAGCAAAAAGAGTGGTGATAAAAAAGAACAGTATAGATTTACCCTGAGGGAACTTTATTTTCTTATAGAAAAAATTCTGAACACTAGTTTCTGTAGGTGTGCACCTCCATAGAACTTGTTCAACGACTTCTACAGCTTAAAGAATTCTTGATTACGTTCCCTCTTCTTCATTTCATACTTCATGCGACTGGTTTTTCTGCATTTGTTTGCAACTAACCAATAACTGTTCTACATTTTTTCTTTCCTTCATTTTAATATGTTTTGTTTTAGATGTATTTAACACACATGTTTTCAGATGAGATGTCACTCTTCCTTTCCTTCTAAGTCTTCTGGCCTCAGCTCTGTATTTTAAAGGCTCCATTCCACAAGTACCAAGTTAGCAGGAACAAACTTCCGTCCTCATATAGGCACAGTCTTTACCCATTCTACCATGGGAAGAAAATGATGCCACAGACTCTCGTAGGTGACAAACTGTTACTGCAAGAATCATCCAGCCTATTTGTTAGCATCTCTTTGGCATCAGATTGTTAACAAATCAGACTCCTAGAGTTTCTTTGACTTCCTTCAAAGTTCCTCTCGTGTTCCAGAAGTTGCTGTATAGTATAAAATGACACTGTAGTCAAAGTGGGAAGTAAAAAAAATAGTAAAATGCAATGTTAAGAGTTTGCATGTATTTTGGGCAGATTTAATTTAATATGGAGTTTAATTTTTCTCTTAAGGTCTCCAGTTATGGCTGGAGGATTGTTTGCAGTTGATAGAAGATGGTTCTGGGAACTTGGAGGATATGATGCAGGCCTAGAAATATGGGGAGGAGAACAGTATGAAATATCATTTAAGGTGAGTTATTGAAAAGATATTGGATAATATATTTAATGAAGTATGACTTGGTAAAAAAATATTGTGTTTATATTTATAAAATTATTGAAAAAAGAAGAATTTAAGCAATTTAAAAATATTTGTTAAAATAATTAAAAATCTTGTTAAGAATCTAATGCTACTGCTGAATTGCCAATGACTCCTAATTTATGGTATTTGATTGTTAGTATATGAAAGGTCAATTTTCCTGAAACTAAATATTTTACATAAACATCAGGCTAAATTAGTTAAGTATATCGGGATTGTCACTATTTTAAATGCCAACTGAGTTCTGATTTGACACGTAAGAATAGAATTTTATGTATTCAATCATTACAGAAAAAAAGTATTAACAAATAATTTATTCTTGTTTCCAAGCCAAAGTATTATTGATGTCGTAATGGACACAGCATACAGAGAGTGTATTTCGTTTGGGTAATATGCTTAACAAAACATGGATAAGCGGTAAATATCTTAAATACTTAGTTTGTGATTTGTTCTTCTATAACTGACTGGTTTGGTACAGATATTCAATAGATAGTTAGGTCTGCAGAAAAACTATTTCAACCAGCTTGCTGTCCATTAGGACCTGTATACTGCATGAGTCAGAAAGAGGGTTGAGAAAATATATGCTGATCCCTCACATCCAGGACATAAACTATTTCAATTCCTCCCCTTGAGACACTGCTATAGAGCATTGCATGCCTCAACAACTAGACACAATGTTCTTTTTCTTGTGCCATCACTGCTGAACGCTTAATTTCTGTCTTGTGTCTTAGTATATTTCCATGTAGTTCTGTCTTATGTCTTAGTATATTTCCATGTAGTATTTCTATATTACTTTTATCCTTCTTATCTGTTCCACTACCTTCTCTATTGGTATCACTATTATGATTGTTATCCTTTGTTATTATGATTATTTCTTTGTAATAATGTAATTGCATGTACACTGAGAGCTTGAGAAAAAATTCCTTGTGTGTCTAATCACACTTGGCCAATAAAGCTATTCTATTCTCAAATACTAATTGGAATTTATTTGAACAAGAGGATTTGAAGGAATATACAAAAACTGTACTGTTTTACATCTTTACCTGTGTGGATACTGTTACTGTGAATAAGCGCATCTGGATTTTTCCAAACCAGAAGGTCTGGATGAACAAGGATATACAATTACTTCTCAGGACACGTGATATGGCATTCAGGTCTAGGGACAGGGTTTGGTATAACAAGGCAAGAGCGGAACTGAGGCAGGGCATTAAGGAGGCAAAAAAGGACTATAAAGGGAAGATTGAGGACTACTTCACAAATAGTGATCCACGGCAGGCTTGGCAGGGAATTAAACACATCACTAATTACAGGGGCAGCAACCCCATATTAATAAGGATGCATCACTGGCAGAAGAATTGAACTGCTTCTTTGCCTGATTCGAACTGAATAGGTCTTCGGATACACTGCCTCTACAAACCACCAGTACTCAGCTGTTCACAGTACAAGAGTATGATGTGAAGTGGGTGCTTAGAGCAGTGAATGTGAAGAAGGCTGCTGGCCCTGATGGGGTACCTGGGAAGGTACTCAAAGCATGTGCTGACCAGCTTGCAGGTGTGTTTACAAATATTTTTAACCTTTCTCTCACACAAGCCATTGTTCCATCTTGCCTCAAAACTTCCATTATTATTCCAGTTCCCCAAACGCCCTCTCCTGATACTTTAAATGATTATAGACCAGTAGCTCTCACACCCATAATCATGAAGTGTTTTGAGACTGGTCTTAAAATATATACAGGATTGCCTCCCATCGACCCTTGACCCATACCAGTTTGCTTATCAGAATAACAGATCCACAGAGGATGCTATTGCCATGGCTCTCCACGTTGCACTGGACCCTCTGGAGCATAGTGGGAGCTATGTAAGGATGCTTTTCGTTGATTACAGCTCAGCTTTTAATACCATCATTCCGGATATACTGATTAAGAAGTTGCTGGAAATGGGCCTCTCCTCTCACATCTGCTGTTGGATAAGGGACTTTCTTACTAACAGACCCCAAACCGTTAGGATTGGCAGCTATTTTTCCTCCACTCTTGCTCTCAGCACTGGCTCTTCCCAGGGCTGTGTGCTGATCCCCCTTTTGTATTCACTGTACACCTACGACTGCACTCCCTCTTGTCCCACTAACTCTATAATAAAATTTGCAGACAACACCACGCTGGTGGGACTCATATCAGGAGGAGACAAGACAGCCTATAGGTCAGAGGTTCTCAGACTGGTCTTGTGGTGCAAGAGTCATAACCTCAAAAAGACCAAAGAATTGATTATAGACTTCAACAGATACGAAGCAGAGCCTCTCCCACTATATATCAATGGAGACTGTGTGGAAAGAGTTCATAATTTTAAATTTCTAGGAACTCATATTTCTGACAACCTTACTTGGTTGGTCCACCCTATGGCCACTGCAAAGAAGGCCCAACAGCGCCTGCACTTTCTGAGGTTGCTGAAAAAGAGTGGCCTGGGTGAGAAGTTGGTGGTTACTTTCTATCGTTCTACCATCAAGAGCATTTTGGCATACTGTGTAACGGTGTGGTATGCTGGTTGCTCTGCAGTGGATAAAAAGATGCTCCGGAGAGTTATAAACACAGCACAAAAAATCATCGGTTGCTCTCTTTCTTCTTTGGAAGGTATTGCGAAGACAGACTCCTCTAGAACATTAAAAATCTCCACAGACCATTCTTATCCTGGACATTCATATTTTGAAGCGTTACCATCAAGGAGGCGTTATAGGTGTCTTAAAATGAGAACTAATAGATTGAGAAACGATTTCTTTTCCAAGGCAGTACTTGTCTTGAATCAAACAGTACATTTGTGATTTAGTCTTATTATTATTATTATTATTATTATTATTATTATTATTATTATTATTATTATTATTATTATTATTATTATTATTATTATTATTATTA